CCTTTTCCACTATAAACCTTATCATGAGGACCAAAAATGTCAAGACAGCAAATACCAAACCAATCTTTCCAATAACAGTGGCAACTCCGTTGAGCTTCACCTGTAGGGGTGTTTCATCTACTCCACCTTCACTTAGTGTAACCATCAGTCTTCCCCATTCAGTCCTCATACCAACTGTTGTCACTAACATTTTCCCAGAGCCATCCTGGACTTTTGTCCCTGCAAGAAGAAAAGGCATCTGTTGAGTTACATTTACAGGCTCACTCTCACCGGATAAGCTTGATTCATCGATTGATAAGCTGTAACCAGATATAAGAACACCATCAGCGGGAACTTGATCTCCAATTGATAGATGAATAACATCCCCAACTACCAAATCATAGATAGAAATCTTCTGCCTGCACCCATCTCTGGTGACCCTGAACAAATATGTTTTTCTTCTCTTTATCCAAGTCTCTGAATTGCAAGGACTGCTTGTAATCACTTATGGCAGTGACCAATACTACCAGGAAAATGCAAAGTACTATTCCTAGCCCATCATAGAGGCCAGAAGGCCACCCTTCAGTAGCAATTCCAGCACCTATAGAAACAACGGCACATACCATGAGGACAATCAAAGTCAAGTCGTGCAGCGCTTCCCACACAAACGTCCAAAAGGATTTAGCTGGTTTTTCAGCAAATTTGTTGTAGCCAAATATATTTTGCCTGATTGAAATATCAGTTGGAACAACACCGTTGGTCAGAGAAACAGAGACTTTTTTGGCTAAGCCTTCGACCCCTCCACGATCTTCGAAGCTCTTCATGTCATGGGTCCGAACAATGGATGCTAGCTCATCAGCTCCAATGCCAAAACCAGCTTTCCTAACATCTTCTGGAAGCTCCACTTGCTTGCCAGCTGTTCTAGGTAATGTTAGATGATTAAAAAGAAACATTTAATTTGGTTGGACAACGATATCATAGAGATCATACCATCAATGAAATTCAATGCCGCTTTTTGCACGTAAATAGCTACTCTAATTTTTTCCTGGCAAAACATGATCCAATTCAAGTATAATAAGTCAGAGAGACCTTGGAAAAACAAATCTACAATGTCTGGGGAAGAGCAAGCAACCAAAAATACATGGAAATCTACTAAGAAGAATGGTACAAGTTTGAAAAAATGCAAGTGAAACTATTCCAACTTAGTTGAACAGTCAGATTATCTTGTATTCAAAAATTGAGATTGTGATATTTTGAACACCAACATAGTTGTGAGCTGCCACGGCTATCATCGATCCTGATATAACTAGAGTCCTAACTCCTAATCAGGGATTTAAATAGCGGTCGTTATATAGTGGTAAAAGTGTCGTCCAAAACCGTTAATTTCACAACCGTGATACCCGCAATGACCGCAATAACACCTGTTATTACCGCAATCGCGACAAACAAAACACAACCGAAAATGAGACCATAACCGCAATTTAAATCCCTGGTCCCAATATCCCACCCGCATTTTTCCAGTCTAGTTTAACAATAGTCATTAATCTAGTTTGAAGTTTAGCAAGAGTTTAAAAGCAATGACCTTTTTCTTTTTTTGCTTAGCCAGCAATGACTCCTAGTTGACCCTACAAGTAAATCTTTTCTATAGAAAAATAGGAGATTAGGACCGAAGCCCTTCTTTAATAAAAGAGGAAAGTTTATGAAATCAGGTAGATAATAGAAATGACCCTATATTACTGCTGGATGAAGCTAAAATTTCAAAGTGCATTAATTCTTAAACCAGAAAAAAGATTGAAAATGTTTGGTTGCTACCTCCACAGCATGCACAGACAACCAACAATGGCTCTAGAAGTCTAAAGTATGGTGTTCAGAGTTTCATAACTGGTTTTACAAGGAATTAAAGACTAACCAACTACTCCTTTGAGTAGTTTTGGCCTAGTAATATGAAAGTTCATCGTTTAACTGATTGTTTGCTTCTTTATTTAATCAGTAGCTCTTTTCGCTCCGTTAATTTTCCACGGTAACAAACAATATCAATTTACGCCAATCGTTTCCGGTGAAAAAGATAATGATCGACCAACATTGGTAGTTCTACAACAATACAATTGTTTAACAATCTCATGGAATCTATCAAATCCTAGTTAAAGGGTCCATGGCCACCCCAGAGAATAAGGACATTTAGGATAAACTCTATTTCTTCCTATTTATATAAAGCAAATCTAGATAGTTTGCTAGGAAATTCCCCATTGTATATTATTGTATTTAAAGTGGGGTATGGGAAATCAAATTCCAGTTGAAAGCGAAGCTGAAGTGAGGCAATAACCATCATAAATGGAGTTGATATATAACCCATGGTGGCCTTGCTCTGGAATTGATTAATTGTATTGTAATGTATTTGCTTCCTAGTCTTATTCTTAATTGTAAAATAACCTGGAGAACTTTTCGCCTGCGGTCTGCTTCAGCACGCTTGGCAAGATCAGCCACCATACGAAACCTGCGGCTACGGTTCTTGACGAGAGCGACAGCAGATCTCCATCTCCTTAGAGCTTCTTCGGATGGCCTTTTGTGTTCAACGGCAAAGTTCTTTCTCAAGTAATCCTCCATATATAAATATAAATAAATATACAGAGGGAGAGTCTGATGGATGAAATTAGGGTTTTGTTATATGTATTCTGAAATCTGAAATCTAAGCAGTTTCAGTTTGCACTGCATGCAAGACAGGAAGATGATAGCACTCAAGAGATGAATGTTTTCATTTCCATGAAGAAAGGTTCAACTTCAAACCTCGCCGTGATTGGCGGGAACCAGTAAAACAAATTTTATAAACATCTAACCTTAAATTGCATATACATCATCATTTCATTCAAGAATTATAAAATGAATATTTTTAAAATTATTTAATAATAATTCAATATTAATTCTAATTATTATTTACACAACAATATCAACTTTCAAGAAGCACCGCTATAATAGCTGCATCATCGCCGCTGCTGCAACTATCGTTAATAATTAAATTTATATCACAATAAATCAATCAACATTCATCTTATTAGATACTAATAAAGGTTGAATGTAGTGATAAAATACATTGTTGAAGGAGTACGATGTCAAAATAAACTTTGAATATATCATAAAAATGAATAAATTCTATGTTTAGTCATTCAACTATAATTTTATTTTTATTATCATTTAACTTTTAAAAATTATAATTTTGTCATCTAACAATAAAAATGGTTTTTTGTTTTGTTTTGTTCATTTGACAGTTAATAATCTATTATTGTTTAAATTTTACGGGCAAAACTACACAAAAGAAAACCCCTAAAATTTCCTCTTTAAACTAAATTCTCGGACTACCTCAGATTTGCCACTGTCGAAGTATTTTTGACCATATACGAATGGCAAGGATACGAGGAGTAGAAAATCTATGTATCTCAATTTCACGATGATCAGGTTCACGATGCTGACGTAATAATCTACGGTGGTTGATGAGTTAAATTGATTTTTTTTAAAGTTCAGCATCATGAAATGTCACGTTTGTATTATAACGACAACGGCAAAAATCGTTGGTCAAAGAGCTACATAATTTTTTTTTTTGAGTTTAAAGGTTACATTAAATGTAAAAATAATTCGAGGGTCATACCCATTTAAAAAAAAAAAGTTTTGAGTCCCTCATGCACCATTAAGCCTTACAATTTCCTATTCAGAATTTATACGGTTTTTATGGCTTTGGATGTGTTCATTATAAAGAAGACAAATAATTAATGCACTTTCTAATATTTAAGCAATGCGATGCTGCAAATAAGATCCAGGGTTTCGATAATTAAAAGTAAAATAGTAGCTCAAGCTTCTAAAAAGTGAGTTCAAAAACATTCATTACAGTGTGTGGAAATATAATACTTGAATGAAAACATAAAATACCAAAAGGTAGTATTGAGGAAGAGGTTGTTCAAACTCGGTTGTATGCAGCTGATTTGCTGAAGAGATGCCTGATATAGAAAACTTTAAAAACAGATTTTCAAGAGAAAATACAAAAAAAAAATATCTAAAATATATAAGAATTTGAAATTTTCAAGAGATCGCTCCCCTCGGTCCAACCATGTATACAATTAATGTTATCAGACATTTAAAAAAATGTTATTATCGTGCTGCAAATGCAATATCAATTTCAATGAATCAATTAGGAGAAACTATCAGTCATGCAAGTGATTCATTAGATACTGAAAATGATGCATTTCATTAAACTCGTAGACCAATTAACTTCAGCACTAAGGCCCCTTCCAGCTTAGTCTTCCATGCATAATGTAGGGTGCAACTATTAACAGAAAAGCAGAGGAGTCGATAACACATCGAGTTTCTTTTAGCTCCGACATTTTGGACCACTTAAAACTTATGATTTTCTAGTCTTTTATAGATTAGTTTTCACAAATCTACTAGTTCCTAACCAGAAACTAGTAAATTGTAGTAGTCTTCATAGGTTTCTACTGAAAATTCAGATGTTGCAGTAAATTTGTAAAGAGTGCACATCTGTACATGGTTTCTACAAAGATCCAAAAGCATCATTATTATTACACTAGAAACAAATACAAATGATCACTTTAAATTATCATATTTTTTTCTTATAACTGAGACTTCGTTCACTGTTTTCTTAAGGTAAACTCGATAGATGTCCAAGAGTAGCTATCCACAGTTTTACCAAACATTTGGCATTAAAATGACACACTTCAAGATATTTACCATCAAGTAAGTGCATTTTGTAGCATCCATGTTTTTTAGTTAGAATTTGCTACTATGGTGGCCGAAAAGAATCTGTTAATGATAACAGAAAAATTGACAATATTGTAGGTTTCACACTGGTGAAGGTCACGGTCGGTGGTGACCTTGCATCGGAAAGAGAGAGAGGAATGAGAAATGAACCAAAAGCATATTTAAACGAAAAAACCTCTTTAACCCGAAGACCTCGTATATGCCTAGATAACATTAGCACTGGATAGCAAATTAGAATTGAAATAAAGTAGTAATACTTAATTATCAAGTTTCAAAACAATGCAAAGGTCGGAAACTCGAAGCGACTTACTACGACGATGCCGAGTATTACGAGCTTTCAAGTACTTTTGTTCTGCTGTAACCGACTCCAAAGCCTCTCTCAACTCAGCAATTTTAACACTAACAGGGTTCAAATGTTCTGTAACAAAGAGAATCAAGGAAAAAATGATCAAATGTGAGGGAAAATACAATACTAATATGTAATGTTCATCTGCAAACAGGGGAGAAAAATCAACTTAAATGCTAGAGTCAAAGTTGAACGCACAATACAATAGTAACAGGCATTTACAGCTTTGCCTACAAAGACTTTGATGTATAGACATAAGAAAAACACCAACAAGAATATAACAAACCATCTTTTGCAAGATTATGCTCAGAGGGAATATGGCCAATATGAATACGGAAAGCAACGGTCTCCGGTGTTGAGTAGGGATTGTAAAAACAAAACTTGTGCATTCCACTTCCTTGGGCCTTGAATTCAAACTTGTTCCCTGATGTCCCCGCCAAACTGTGAAGTATATGACCCCCAGCCGATGTTACCTGCAATGCATTAAGCAGAATATCAGACAAGCTTGTTCTTCAAGGAAAACCCAAACCAATTTTATTCCAGAAGACTCCAACAGAAGCCTAACTACATAACCCACATGTAAAAATCAGATCAATTCAAATGAATGAGGCTAAATAAAAAAAACACGTATTCGTAAACTTACTATGAAATCAATGCCACGATGATCAGAACTCCATAAAATATCGTGGTCGACGACAACAAAGTATCCCGAAATCGTGTCGTCATCGTAAAGCATGTATTCGTAAACGCATTCGACGTCGTCTATGGTCACGGAAAGCGAGGAAACGTTATTCGCCCAATTCAACAGAAGAAAACACATCAAAGCCCACATCTTTCCCTTGCTCTTCTCCATTTATTTATTTTTCATTCAGAATTTTCATCCAGGGGACCTTTTCCCCCCGATTTGATCTCTAACGACTTAGTAGTTTCGTGAAGAAATCAAAAACATGTACTTGTATTTTATTAGAGCTTCACGACTGTCCGAGCATTATTGAAAATACCGCTAACAAAAAGTATATTACTTCCATTTATGAATGAAACGGCGGCATCTCCTTCAGAATTTATGCGACTTCGTTCCTGATGTGATTTTATCACCCATTACTTTTTTTTGCTTATTGGTAAAAAAAAATAATCCCTGCAAATATTATGTTGGAATTGTCGGGGCTTGGGATCCCTCGGACAATTCGAGCTTTAGAAAAGCTGATAGCTTCTAAAGGACCTCATATTGTGTTTTCGACCAAGACATGTCGGCGGCAGCACAAAGTGGACAGAATTCACAGAAGATGCAACACAAATGGTATGCTAATCGTATGTATTAATGTTGCCTGTACTGGTTTAATAATGTTTTGGACTGAAGATACTAATGCTCCACTTATTGCTTATTCTACTAATCACATTGATGTGCTTGGCCGAAGATAAGTTTCGATTCACAGGGATCTATGAAGAATCTCAACGTGCAAGGAAACATGAGTCATGGGAGCTGCTGTACAACATTAAAAGGTCCTCTGATTTACTGCAGATGATCGGAGGTGATTTCAACGAGATTCTCGATGATTCTAAAAAGAAAAGAGGTGCTTGCAGACCACGAATTGACAGGGATGAGCATTCAATCAAATCGAATTGAGTCAAAAAAATTGGAGTTATTCAACTTGACGAGTGCTATTTTATAATTTAAATTTGATTTAAAATTTTTCGAGTCGAGTTAGTTGAGTTTCTGTTTAAATTTAATTATAAATATTTATAATATTGTAATACTATTTGATTCCAATTTGAATGGTTTTCTATAACCATATACAATACATATATATTTCTTCATATTTTTTTCATCTGTAATATACATATATCATAGAGAGTCGAGAGACTCGTCCCAAAATTAAAAATCAATCCACTAATTATTAAAAATTTTGAGTTGTTCGAGTTTTATTTCATAACTCAAAAAAATTTTAGTTGAGTCGAGTTTATGAAATTACAAGTTAAACTCAATTCGAGACGAGTTTTTTTAGTCGAATCGAGTGAAAAAGATCGATTTTTCTAATAGAGCCGTAAAGATCGCTTTTTCAAGTTGAGTCTAATTTTTCACACCCTTGCATACTAATATGACTGCCTTCCTAGATACGGTATCATAAATAATCTTTGGAATGTTCTAGATAAATGATGCATGGTTTACATGGGTTAGAGGTCGTAGGGTGAACACTCAATTTCAGGAATGCATTGATCGTTTTGTTGCAACGAATGATTGGCTTCATAATCATCCCCATTGTTGTGTGTACTCGAAATTTAATGAAGCCTCGGATCATCACTGCTTATGATTAGACACAAAGGGGAAAAGTATGATAGATGAAGAAGACGAAATAGAGACTATTTCAAATTTGATAATTACCGGGCTAACGAACCGCGATAAGTAATATGCATGTAGGAAGTGTGGTCCGGGGAAAATGCTTCGACCCTTAATAAATTATAGTTTGGGTGAGAGCCAGACTTAATGCCTAGCAGATTGAAAAAGGGGAGGCAAATCAAGAAGGGATAGAGCCGTGATTGAATCATGAGGGAGCAAGTTATTTAACTTTAAAATAAATAGGATCTCTAAAATTGAACAAACCATAAAAATTAAAGGAGTTTTGATATGATTTCATAAATTTTAAAATTGAAGGATCTTAAAAAGTAATTAAACCAAAAAAATTAGAAGTCAAAATTTCATTTATAAAACTAAAAAGGTCCTAAAATATAATTAAACCAATAAATTTGGAAGAGGCAATGACTTAATTATAATTATTTAAAAAAATTATAATATAAAACTAATTAAACAATCAAGGTTTGCGGAGGGGGGGGGGGGAAGGGGACAATTACCCCTCCCACCTCCCATGTAGTTTCGTTCCTGGGATCCCTTCAAATTAAAGCTCTTGAAAGAAGAATTGAACACTTGGTTGCTCAGTCGCTTCATGATGCTAATCTCCAGGAGATTAATGTTGCGAAAGATGAATTTCGGATTTTATTAAACAAGGATGAGGTCTATTGACACCAACACTCGAGGGTTAGTTCGCTAATTCATGGGATCGAAATTCTAATTTTTTTTCATGTAAGTGCTAATAAGATTTGCTCATCGTTGCTGTCGCTATGTGGATTCGCCGGTGTTGCTCCGGTGCGTGTATGGTGGCCGCAAATCAATTGCAATTCACGAAAGTGAGGGTGGGTGATGGGGGCCAACGGCTAGTTGGTGCGTAGAAAAGATATGAATTTTTTAATTTTATATTTTTAATCAAAAGAAACTAAAAAATAAGTCACGTGTCAGATATAAATTGACTAACTAAGTTTTCATAATTTTTTTAACGATTATCATATATCACGTACTTAAAACAATAATATTTGTAAGGTTATATATTTATTTAATATAAAAAATTAAAAGAAATTATATTAAATCTATATCTTTCAATTTTCTTCAACGTCAAACAAACCGAAACAAAAACCATCATCCTCAATATATTTACTATATTACCCGCCAGCATATCACTCCTCGTCTAACAGCACTATTTCTCTCTCTCGCAGAGCATTAAAAACAAATAATTAGAAAAGAGAAAAAACTACATTTTGAATTCTCCCAAACAATGGCAAGAGGTACATCTCAGTCGCAGTCCAGCATTTCCTCCACCGCCAACCGCCCCGACGTCATGGCTCCCCGCGGATCAGCCGCCGCGACAGCTGGGATGCGTCGTCGTAGGGTTGTCGGAGGCGCTTCAGCGGGCTCCGGTTCCGGGAGCAACATGCTCCGATTCTACACCGACGATGCTCCGGGCTTGAAGATCTCCCCTACTGTTGTTCTTGTCATGAGTCTTTGCTTCATAGGCTTCGTCTCCGCTCTCCACGTCTTCGGCAAGTTCTATCGCGCCAAAGCCGGAGCCGGAGCCGGAGATGGACCTTGAATCATGACCCGAACCCGATCTTTTGTTGGTTCTCTGATCTGTTATTGTGTAAGTGAATAATCATACGTTTTTTTTTCTCTTCACGATTTGGTTTTATTAACTCCGTAAAACGATGGATGGCATTCTCGTAATTACCTGGTGTTGTTAATCCAGGTAATTTCAAGTTTTCAGAACCAGACCGGTTAGTGAACCGGTTATGCTACCGGTTCATTGATTCAACCGGTCGAACTGGTCCGACCGGTCGAAAGAACCGAATGACGTCATAATTATTTAAAAAATTAAATAAAAATACCAAAAATATTTAATAAAAAATAATTTTTATATCACAAGTCATATTTAAAGCAAATCATAACATATATAAGTTAAAAACCATAAAATTAAGTGAAACAAAATGATTTAAATTAACTACAATATAATATTTAAGGTAAAACATATTAAATAATAAATATAATTATATAACTATAATTAAAAAATAAATTTGAAGTTAAAAAAATCATAACAAAATGATATTATTTGGTTTAATTTTTTTTAAAAAACAATCCTACATGGCTAAGAAACATAGAAGAGCATCCCAAAAGTCTAAAGAGTAAAAATATGAGAACAAAACAATCTCGCATTGCTAAGAAACATAAAATATCATCACAACTAACTTCTATAAATAATAGAGGTAATTTGACATTCAAAATCATGGAGTCTTTTGGTGAGCATTGAGTGAATTATTCTTTCACTTTAATCAAACTCGAATTTTAGGCTTCAATCGAGCTTCTAAATTTTTTTTGAGTTCAAGCCTTTTTGAGTTCAAGTTTCAATATTATATTTCGAGTTTGAGTTGAACTTGATAATTTTTAGCTTGTGAGTTTGAGTTGAGTTGAGCTTACTTTTAAAGTTTTCAAGTTTAAGTCGAGCTCAACAATACTCGAGTTTGACTTGGCTCGTTTAACAAATGACGTTGTTTGGTTTAATTTTAAAAAAAAAATTCCCGGTTTTTCTCGGTTTTTTCCGGTTTTCAGCCGGTCCGGTTCGAAAGGTTCAGCGGTTTTAGCCGGTTCACTAGTAGCGGTTTAACTGGTTTAGATTAAACCGGACTAAGCAACGGTTTCCGATTGAACCGGTCGATCCGGTCCGGTTTTCAAAACAGAACTTTTTTCCGAGAAAGTGAATCTAATTTTCCTTTAATTGTACCATTTTTGTATCAAATTGTATGGATGGCATTTGCTTAACCTTCTTGAATTGATCCTATTCATCTTGAATTGCTTGAATTTAGTGAAAGGTTCATAGTTTTTTTGTCATAAAATTTAAGTGATATACCTCAAACCTGAACCTTCTTATTGTTTAGCTAACATCATCCACATAATAAGAATATATTCCCATGAAATGATGCATTTTAGGATAGTTTTGGAGGTAGAAGAGTTTATAATTTGAAAATGCAAATAGATGGTTTAGCTTGACTCTGGTAGTTGTAGATGACAAATATGATGGTGGTTACCTGCTTTAGGGCAAATTTGGCTAAATAACGTGGTAAAAAATATTTCATAAGGGTTGTGTTTCGATTATGAAAAATAACATTATTAGGGGAATCATCTTTTTCAAAATCACAAACTACGTTTTATTTAAGAGCATTATTTCTTAGGTGTAATGAAGTATTCCCCACCGTAGTAATTTTTTGGTCTTTTACTATGAATGTCATTCATTCTCTTTTTAAGGTATTAAATAATTCGTTCTCTTTAAGATAAAAAATACCCATAAAAAATATAGTTATTTCAAAATTGGTATTCCTTTTATACCTAATTACACAAGTATAAAATTTTTTTATTTTTTTAATGGTTCCAATTTTTTTAATACTTATTATAATGGTTTAATGCAAAAATAAGTGTCTAAACAATGCTTTGAAAAATGTTTTGGTGTCTAAAGATATTTTTGCTAAAAATAGGCGGTTAACGTTTTCTCAGTTACGCTTTTAGGTGTCTATCGTTAAATTTTTTAAATTTTTTTAATAATAAAAATATTATTTTAAAAAATTGAATTTATTTATAAAAAAACCCAAACTTTTAATGAAATTATAGAAAAACCCTAAAAATTAAAATATCTCATTTTAACCACATTACCAATTGTCGCCGACCATCTTCGACGACCATCATCGTCGAACACTTGGGTTAAACAGTGGCAGTGGCTTAAAATCCAACGAACCTTTAAAAACTTCTCTACGACAAACGATGACACTTTACAACGAAAGGTTAACGGGAGTTTGATAGGGGGTCGAACCCGGTGTCGATGAAGGTGGCGGTGACGGTCATGGATGGTCGACCGACGATCATAGAAAGGGGAAAGGAGAAGGGGGAAGAGGGACGACGGGGCTGGGTTGTTTTTCTTTTTTAATAAAAATATTTTTATTTTTAAAATTTTTAAATAAATTCTCAAAATTATCAAAATGTGGCAAATGTCACGTAATTAAATTTAACGACAGTTACGGTCTAAACACCTAAAAGTGCTCCTGATGAAAATGTTAGCCATCTATTTTTAGCGAAGAATTTTTTAGACACTAAAACGTTTTTTTATCAAAGTTTATGACTTATTTTTGTATTAAGCCTATTATAAAATAATATAATGCATATAAAGTAAAAGTAAAAAAAAATCAAAATTTTACTTTATTTTGATTATTTATTATGTATGCATTTGATTCAAGTTTTATTTTTGGTATGTGGTCTGTTACATTTATTTTTTTAAGATTATTTTTCATAAAAAGTTCTTTATATTTTATTAATTTTTTCAAATAATTTGAATTCATATTTTGTTTATTATTTTATTGCGTTTCTTTTTTATTAAACTATTTGTATAAACTTTTATTAAAAATATATAAATTAAAAATAATAGACAAAATTATATTTTCTATTAACTTTCATATAAATATTTTACTTTAATTTTGAAATTTCAACTTATTAATAAGAAAATATATTTCAATGACAATTTGATAAAATATACATTATTTTTATTTTATATTCCTCCAACTAAACATTATAATCATACATTCTTGTCAAACAAACTAAAAAAGGTAGTCCAACATTCCTAATAATATGTCAAATAATGTTACATTCTGATAATTTTATTTCCAAATGTAATCTTAAAATCTGTGAACCAAACAATCCCTAAGTTGTTGGGAAAATATTTTCTCAATGTTATGGTGCACATTTAAAAACGCCTGGACGACAAGACGGCTTTGGAAATATGCATTGATTATTCATTGATTTTGGTAAGACTCTAGTATTATCAGCTTACGAGCATGTATGTAACTTGAAGGAAATCGTCGTGTCCTATGGGTATCTTTTTAAAGTTGTCGTTTCGTTCATGTGTCTTTCGAAGTGTATTGTAGCATTAGAATTTAAAGATTTTTTTTAAAACAATATTTGTGCAATTTTGTCATGCTTTAGCTTTTTGAGGTAGGAAAATTAACATTTTTTATTGTCCTTCTAGTTTTTAAGGTTTCGTCTTGAAGTCGACCCACGTCGCATACCTGGTTTGGTGGGTGTCTCCCAACATGAATTTTTTGCATATACAATATCTCAAACTCAAAATATGCTTAAGCGACTTCAAGTTACATATCACTTGAACTAATCCCGTTAATAGAAAATTACTTTTGGATAAGAATTTAAAACCAGTTGCGTGGCAGAGTAATATTGATCTTTGTAGCTTTTATTACATAATTAATGAAACCAAAGTATTTTCTTAAAATGAAAAAAGGAAGAATTTGTGAATCCCATCGTCTTTTCTTAATACCATGTATTAATAGTAACTAGTATTTTAGCCCAGCTGCACTTGAGTTGCTTGTATTCTGCAGTTAAGTTTAGTTGAGATAAACCGTCTATACTGACAAAATTGAAAGAAAGAAAAAACAAATTAAGAAGACTCTTAAATGTTACTCGATGTTGGTTCTTATAAAGTTGACAAGTTAAAATACATATATTTGTAGTAACTTAGAAAAAAAATTTGTACGAGACACCACTACTATTATCATGGAAATAACAATCATCCGTTCTTCATACTTGGCCAAACGGATAATAATATGATTTATTTCCCTATAATTTGAAGAAAAAATGTAAAAGTAATGTCTTCTAATTCAGAGAAAAATTAACAATACCATGAATATAGGGGTTATATGAGTTATTCAATTTTTATTTTATAACTCAACTTCAACTTAAATTTTTTTAATTAAATTTATGAAATTATTATTTGAGTTATTTCAAGTTGAGTTTTTTTCTAATCAAATTAAATCTAAAAAAATAATTTTTTAATTCTAGTTGAATTTTACCCACCCTTAATATTAACCTAATCTTTAACTATTCTATGGCGTCTCTATTAATATTTGATGACTTAAAAAAGCACTATTAAAAAGTAATTTTAAAAAATATTTTTGAAAAAGTTGAGTTTAAGATTTTAGTGTTTGGTATTAATGTCAAAGTATACTTTTGAAAAAAATAATATGTTTATTATAGACGTAATACTTTTAATTGAAAATAAGTTGTCTTAAGTAATATTTAAATTTGTTAATATTATAAATTAACTGAGCCTATTCCCATATGTAATGGGGTGAGGGGGAGGTAAGGTAGTAGGCTACCCCCAACGCCAGGTTGAGAGCAACTTCCGTGAAAGACCTCCGGCAGTCAGAATTATGAATTGCCCACCGTGGGACTCGATCTCATGACTATAAGGTTAAAAACCTTGCACTCTACCAACTAAGCTGGACGGACAATTCAAAATCATATGATTTTATTAAGGTTCGAATCAGACAATGAGAAACAAAATCATATATCTCGTTAAAAATACTCCAAACTTATATGGTTGAAAAAGAGTACAACATGACCTTGTAGAACACACAGGCGAACCCAAAACAATCAAGGAGACTGAACAGACAGAGATGCCCGCATGCATGCTAAAACAAACATCTACGTTGAAGCAGAACTGGTCAACCTCAAAGACCCAAAACAGACCTCTACTCCAAAACGCCAAGATGACTCGTCGACGCTAAGCAAAGCAACAAAAATGATCCAGCATATAAAGCATCCTCAGCAGACCAAACCCACAAACCTAGTGAACCACAATCTTATCCACAACCCGATTAATACCTTTTTGAGCCAGCTTATCAGCAAAACCGTTTTGAACCCTAGGAAT